TGGTCCGCCCCCCCTTTATATAGCTTTAAGATGAGGGGCTCTCTCCAACTCCTCTTAGGAGATTATCCTCAAAAATAGAAAGTCCTAATCAATTTTGATATAATCATATCCTATCTCTTATCTAGTAATCTCAATCTACTTTATCTTTCTAGGATTACAATTGAAATTTAAATCTGATAGAACTCTTTATTCTTGAATTCGAGTTTGGCTTTTTTAATAATTTGGGCCACTATAAGGTTTTTCTACGAATTGGGCTTCAGCTGTGAGCTGGGATTCTTTACAAATTTTCTCCGACTTTGGGCCCGATTTTGACCTCAGACCGCATCTGTTAAAATTCAGAACATGAAAGTTGTGGAGTTCTTCCTTATCTTTCCAATGCATCTTGAATCATCCCAATCGGAGTCCGGATGTGAGAGTTATTCCCAGATTACTGAATGGTGCCGAAACTATGCAAAATCGTCCGATTAGCCTTGTTTTCCTCCTGTCGCCTTCTTGCTTGCCCTGAATCGAAATACAAGAGTAATGAGTCCAATTAAGTGCTAATTTAATGTAAAAAAATGAATATTTGGGGATAAAAATATGATGCTTTTTATTCCCATCAACTGCTATCCCCTTCAAATCCTTGTCCGTGAAGGAGAGGGACTCTTTCTGCTTCTGCTTCTTGGGGACCAGCCCCTAGATGTTTAACTGCCTGGCATAGGCCTTGTGAGCTGAGGCCGAGGCTCCACCCGAGGCCGTGCTTCCAGCTATGACATCGATGACTCTAGTTACATGCTAATGTTGTTGTTGAGAGGACGAGGCGCCAACCTCACCCCTGATGTACTACTTGAGGTGGCCTCGGCGGATGAAGGACTCTATCTCATTCTTGAGATCGTAGTAGTCCTTGGTGTCGTGGCTAGTGCCTCGATGAAATTTGTAATACTTCTTTGGGTTCCCCCTTCAGGACTCTTCTTGAACTTCTTAGGCCACTTCATGAATTTCTCCTCTCCGATCTACATCAAAATCTGCGTGCCGATGGAGTTGAGTGGTGCGTACTGGTTGTAATCCAAGGCCGAGGCTGGTGGCTTCCTACTGTTGTTGTTGTTGTCGTTGTTGTGGCTGTGGTCTCCATTCTTTCTCTTCTTTTCTAGGGCTCCGCCCTGATGGTGCACCTTTCTTGAACATCCCTAGCCGAAGCCTCTTTGACTGCAATGTACTTCTAGGCCCTCTCAAGGAACTCTAGTTTGTCTTCGGCTAGTTTTGGCGATTGAGCACTTGAGGGCTGAGCTAGGGAGGAGTCCGCTAATGGCGGCGTGCATGGAAACCATGGGGTCGAGGTCATGGACCTCGAGCTCTTCCTTCTTGAAGCGGTCAATGTACGACCATAAACTTTCTCCTCGCTTCTGCTTGACTGTCATTAATGACACAACAGTCTTTTGGGGGCGTCGATTGCTGATGAAGCGGGTGAGGAATATGCTGGAGAACTGCTCCCACGAGTTAACAGATCGAGGTGGGAGGCTTGAGAACCACCATCGAGCAGCTCACTTGAAGGTTGCCTGGAAAGTTCAGCATGTCAAGGCATCGGAGTATCCATGTAGGACCATGAGTACCCTGAAGCTCTCCAGGTGATCGTCCGGGTCTGTGTTCCCGTTGTACATCTCCAAGGTGGGAGCTTTGAAGTGTGGGGGTAATAGCTCGGCGATGATGTTGAGGGAGAAGGCATCCATTCTCCCCATAGAGTTACTCTATCCGGCCGAGGTGTCAGTTCGGTCTTACTTGACTTGTCGGAGCTCAGCTTTGACAACACTAAGCTCTGCTCGCAGTTCGGCAAACTAAGGGTCGGGCATGGCTTGCGCGCCATCCTGGTCATCACAGACGCAATGAGGGCCGATGCGGACTCCAGAGTATTCAAAGGCAAGACCGCACGCTTCGTGCCTAGCGTGACGATCGTTCAGGATGTCCCGAAGATCTGAGACGTGAGGGGAAGAGGCTCGGCATCGGCCCTCGGCCCTAGAGTGGGCACTGGGGCGACCGCGACGCCCGCTTTTGTCAAATTTTCCCTTCGGCACCAATGATGTTGCTCGAAGGGCTGGCGGCTATCCTCAGATTGTGCTGGTCCCTTCTCCCTTCGGCTGGGAGGTCGGAAGTTCCTAGGATGCGGGCTGGTTGGGTGACTGCTGCCAGACTCGGAGGGGTCGATCTGTGGCACATAGCCAAGACCGAGGGCTGGCTTATGGACCCATGCTGTCCTGGTTGTGTTGATTCCCCAGCGGGGTGGTCTTCCTAGGAGGGACCTCCTGCTCGGGGGTAGCTCTGCTAGACTCATTAAGTTAAATACTCCAGGTGGTCGAGCATGGCGTGGAATTGTTCATTAGTGACAAGGTTCTGGGTGTTCCTGGCTCTTCGTACCATGATGATTAGAGCTTAGGGATTTCTTAGTTTGCCAAAGTTCTTTAGGGGATCATCTTAACAATGTTTCTCACAAATGGCGCCAAGTGATGATGCTCAGATTGGCCGAGGACAACAAAGTAATTTCGCCCTTAAGCTCTGGAGGTGGGCCAAAGGCTTCGAGGATTCGGAGACGAAGTGCTGAGGCCGAGGCTGATCGTGTACCGAATTCCGTAGAAGCCGAGGGTTGGTATCTGAAGTGCTACAAGGCAGAGGATGTCAAAGGCCTCGGATGAGAACCCAAGGCGGAGATTCTAACAGACAAGTAAGTATGAGGGTATGAAGAGGGGAATCAGGTTGATTATGATTGAATTTTTCCAAAATGACATCACCTTATGGCCTTGTTCGTTTTTCATTGTTAGTGGATTCTACAAAAAGAAGGAACAATTTTACATTTGTATTATAGGGGGCAGAAAGGTATTACCCTTCATCCACTTGAATAAAATTACTAACACTTTATGGGACAACATTGCCCCTTCAATAGTGATACTTAATCAGCATTGCTTAGTATTACTTTAGAAACAAAAAAACACAGTAAATGCACTTGAGTAAGTTTTTTCTAGGAAACATTTGTTTGAATAAGCACATTTATCTAGGTAAATGACTTCCCGAAAAATGAATAGGATCTACATACGGTCATAATACATTTGTCTTAACTCTTAATCCCTAACCTAATAACAAGTTGTTTTTAGTGATTTTCATACCATTATTTTATGTTTTATTTTTGTGCTAAAAGAACCAATAAAAACATTAACCAATTAAATATCAATAAAAAATATGGTCATATATGACCATAAGTCGAGTTTATGTCTCCTAATCAAATATTAAAAGAATATGAAATTTTTCGTGAGGATGAAAGTTCGGGTTGGGGGTTCAGTACCTTGGATTGGACAAGAATCGACCTCAATCCGACCTAACCTCACCCAACTTTCACCCCCAAAGTCCAGCCCTCCCCAAACCCCAAGGCTCCATTTGTTTTTCGGTAAGTTATTTATCCAGGTAAATGCAGCTACCTGGGTAAGTTTTTCCTAGGAAATATTTGCTCAAGTAAGTGCATTTACTCGTGTTCTTTTATTTCTTATGTAAATAAGGCAATAACCATTTTAACCATAAAAATCCATTATCAAAAGGGGTATTTTTGTCCCATTCAACTATTGGCAACTTTCCCCCTAGGTGGAAAAGTTATTTACCCACCTAGGAGATTGGTATCGTCACTGTCAAAAGCTCATTGCGCCATACCGATTCTGCAAATATCCTTCTGTGAATCATGAAAGAGAAGATTGGGGACGGCAGCGAGAGTGGGACAGACCCCATCCCAATCTCTTACCTCTTTAGCATGACAACGACCATCAAATTGGGCGATGACGGCAACTGCGACGATGACAATGGAGCACCGAGCAATCGCGGTGAGGATATAATACAGAAGCAAAACTTACCCGATGAACTTATCACCGAAATACTCTCGAGACTTCCCGTCAAGCCTCTGTTACGCTTCAACTGTGTTTGCAAACCTTGGCGCGCTTTAATTAGTGATCCTGGTTTCATTAAGAAGCATGCCATTAGATCCATCGAAAATGAGCAGAACATCAACCTCATCCTTAGAGGATGCTACCTCTATTCCGTCGAATTTGATGCATGTGATAAAGCTGTAGAGCTTGACCATCCACTCAAGTCTCCCAATTATGTAAATGTACCCCAAGTAGTAGGTTCTTGCAACGGGTTGCTCTGTTATACAACACTGACAAGGCCATCTTCCTTTCGAACCTGATGAATCAATTTTTGGTGAAATATCAATTTTTTGTGTTAAGTACTTCGTCATTTGGTCTGCTTTCAAGTGGCCTATGATTTAGAGGCCGAAGTAAACTTTTGTTGGATGAGGACCAGGATGCCAAGCTAACCTGACCGAGTTGGGGGAAGATTAGGTGCCGAGTTAACTGGGCCGAGTTGGGCAGGTTAGGTGTCGAACTGACTGGGCCGAGCTAGGCAGGCTAGGTGACAAGCTGACTGGGCCGAGTTAGGCAGGTTAGGTGACGACCTGACCAGAGTGCCAAGCTGCCTATTTGGTGCCGAGCTGACTAGAGTGTCGAGCTGCCTATTAGGTGTCGAGCTGACTAGAGGGTCGAGCTACTTATTGGGTGCTGAGCTGACCGAGGGTCGAGCTACCTATTGGGTGCCGAGCTGACCAGAGGGTCGAGCTGCCTGGTGGCAAGCTTGATTGATTGTTGAGCTTCGTAGTTCTTTAGAGACCTGCAAGGAATCAATGTCAGAGAACCCGGGGTGGCTAACCCGGCGAGGTCGATCCGATGCTTAAGTCAGTACTCTCATAGTAGACTACGAGCTAAAAATCACAAAGTATGAGATCTAGAATATGCTTACTTGCCCCCACTATGCCATTGGGGCCGGTGCCTTTATATAGGCATAGTTTGGCGTGGGCTTCACGAACCGCATCCGAGATTTCCGAGAAGTCGTCTAAGTGGTCCGAGATTCCCTGAGGCAATCGCCATGCACGTTGACCACCCTCCGGATGGTTCGGCACATGGGCCAACTTCCAAGGATCGTGGGAGTGTTAGGATATGCATGCCGAATTTTTCGGCGAGCACGTCTCGCAGGTCGCTAGGTCGGCGCCTGTGCCAAGCCGCTAGGTTGTGCCTGGGCCAGGTTGCCAATTCGTGCCTGGGCCAGGTCGCGCCAAGGCCAGGCTGCTAGGTTGCACCTGGGCTAGGCCGCCAGGTCGGCGCCTATGCTAGGCCGCCAATTCGTGCCCATGCCAGGCCGCTAGGTCGGCGCCTATGCCAGGCCGCCAGGTCGTGCCTGGGCCAAGCCGCTAGGTCGCGCCTGGGCTAGGCCGCCAGTTCGCGCCTAGGCTAGGTCGTGTCTGGGCCGCCAAGTCGCCAGGTGGGACACCATCAACTTGTCTAAGTCAAGTCGTTAACTAATTGATTCCGGGTGTCACCTAATTGTTCCGAGGTGCCATGTATAACAATATCACTGGAGGGCAAAAATCCACCCTCATTATAACCCCTCCGCTAGACAGCATCAGAAGTTACCTTACACGCCCATAGAATCTCGAGAAAAAGGTTATATCGTATATGGTTTTGGTTACGATCCCATCGCCGACGATTACAAGGTTGTGAGGATTGTCGAGTTTTATGGAGACGATGATGACTCTTTTGACTCTGAAGTCAAGGTCTATACCCAGAGTTCCAACTCCTGGAGAAGGGTGGGGGACGTCCCTTTCAGCCTGAGATACAAGATATCTGGGATGCTTGCCAATTCTGCGCTTCATTGGATCTGGACAGTATTAGATTCTGATTCAAAGGCCTCCAACTTAGTCTTTTCTTTTGATCTTCGAGACGAAGAATACCGAGTGGTGCCACTCCCTAGTTTTCCCGACGATAGCTTTCGTATGAATGTGCGAGTTTTGAGAGGACGTCTCTGTATACTCTGTAATTACTATAAGTTCCGTGTTGATATATGGGTTATGAACGAGTATGGTGTGAAGGAATCTTGGAGTAGACAGTTCTCGATTGCACAACCCTCAGTAATTAGGTCTTTTGAATACTTGAGGCCTCTGTGCTTTTCGAAAAATGGGGAGCTTCTTCTTGAGCAGGACAACAACAGACTAGTTTTGTATGACTCTAAAAGTGAACGGGCTCGGGTTCTTCGGATTCACGGTATTCCTGATTGGTTTGAAACCGAGATTTTCGTCGGAAGCCTTATTCCTCTAAGTGGTCGAGATGGAGCTTTGAAGCAGAAAAAAGCTAAACGAAAGGGAAAGAAAAAGAAGAGGTAAATATTTATTAAGCAGTACACAACGTTACTGTTCTATTAATAGACATGTGCTTTGTTCCATTTATTTTCATCTTTCCACTATCTTTTTCTTCTTGCACTTCATAGTGTATTGCTTTATTCGAAGAGGTTCAAGTGTTTAGGGGTTAGTTTTATATAATCGATTGAGAATTTCAATCAGCAATGTTGCAACAGAACGATTTTAAGGGGATATGTTTAGTACAAAGGGGTGCCATTTGCCATCATTTGGGTATAGGAAGGAAACTGAACCTGTGATACTTTGGACGTGTCTTCATTCCTTTCAGGGTTGATGCCAGACTAGGGGGCTTTTCTGAGAGCACAAGCACAGGAAAAAAGGAGTAGCACTTAGCTGCAAGTAAGTAATATGAGAAGAGGTTATGCAGCTTTACTTTGATGCGTCATATTATCTAATTATCATTCGTAATATTGTATTAATGTGGTAATTTGGTCTATGGCAGGAAGCTATAGGTCATATCAATTTTGTGGCCATATCAATTTGAAGCTCAGGCTCAGTTGGGAAGGAGTACAAATAGAAACATGTAGAGTGCAAAACCTTATATTTTGTATTATTTTGTATGTATTTGTATTGTATACTCGTCACTGTCAAAAGCTCCTCGCGCCATACCGATTCTGCAAATATCCTTCTGTGAATCATGAAAGAGAAGATTGGGGACGGCAGCGAGAGCGGGACAGACCCCATCCCAATCTCTTACCTCTTTAGCATGACAATGACCATCAAATTGGGCGATGACGACAACTGCGACGATGACAATGGAGCACCGAGCAATCGCGGTGGGGATATAATACAGAAGTAGAACTTACCCGATGAACTTATCGCCAAAATACTCTCGAGACTTCCCGTCAAGCCTCTGTTACGCTTCAACTGTGTTTGCAAACCTTGGCACGCTTTAATTAGTGATCCTGGTTTCGTTAAGAAGCATGCCATTAGATCCATCGAAAACGAGCAAAACGTCAACCTCATCCTTAGAGGATGCTACCTCTATTCCGTCGAATTTGATGCATGTGATGAAGCTGTAGAGCTTGACCATCCACTCAAGTCTCCCAATTATGTAAATGTAACCCAAGTAGTAGGTTTTTGCAACGGGTTGCTCTGTTATACAATACTGACGAGGCCATCTTCCTTTCGAACCTGATGAATCAATTTTTTGTGTTAAGTACTTCGTCATTTGGTCTGCTTTCAAGTGGCCTATGATTTAGAGGCCGAAGTAAACTTTTGTTGGATGAGGACCTGGATGCCAAGCTAACCAGACCGAGTTGGGGAAAGATTAGGTACCGAGTTAACTGGGTCGAGCTGGGCAGGTTAGGTGTCGAACTGACTGGGCCAAGCTAGGCAGGTTAGGTGACGAGCTGACTGGGCCGAGTTAGGCTGGTTAGGTGACGACCTGACCAGAGTGCCAAGCTGCCTATTTGGTGCCGAGCTGACTAGAGTGTCGAGCTGCCTATTAGGTGTCGAGCTGACCAGAGGGTCGAGCTACCTATTGGGTGCCGAGCTGACCAGAGGGTCGAGCTACCTATTGGGTGCCGAGCTGACCAGAGGATCGAGCTGCCTGGTGGCGAGCTTGATTGATTGTTGAGCTTCGTAGTTCTTTAGAGACCTGCAAGGAATCAATGTTAGAGGACCCGGGATGGCTAACCGGCAAGGTCGATCCGATGCTTAAGTCAGTACTCTCATAGTAGACTATGAGCTAAAAATCACAAAGTATGAGATCTAGAATATGCTTACTTGCCCCCACTATGCCATTGGGGTCGGTGCCTTTATATAGGCATAGTTTGGCGTTGGCTTTATGCACCGCATCCGAGATTTCCGAGAAATCCTCTAATTTCTATTATAATATAGTGTATATGTATGGCCAGTCTCGTCCCTGACTATTAGACTCGTATGATTTAGACATCCAATATTTTGATTTTTGAGAATAGTAGGACTTTGTTTACTATCTAAGTCACTCTATAGCGAGATGTTGGAAAGGTAGCTTGTCATGGAAAGCTTCAATTAACAACTGTCTCAACTCCTTTTAATTTGTTCAAGTCAAAATGTTGGGATTTGGAATTGGAAGCCATCAACTTTTTTTTTTCTTTTTTCTTTTTTTTTGTTAGAATTGGATTTTGCATGTTGAGAAAAATGAGGAAGATCACACGCTCATGCCTGTGTCTTAACTCGTAACTATCTCCTAAAAGGCCAAACTTCTTCAATTTTGGAGTGGTTCTATTTTGTGCGACAAACTCTGCTACTATTGCTTTTATTCAAGGAAAAGATGTGAATGCAATAATTCTATCCTCAAGTCCATATCGCTGGCCATTGGACGCTGAAATGTATGGGCACTTCATTACAGCTTTTTTTTATATTTATACAGGATAAGCAAAGGATTGCAGCCTACAGTTTGGATGAGACATATTGAGATTACATTCAGCTCCCTGATGACATGCTTGGTATGCTAGTGAGCTAGGACCTTAAAGGTTCTGCTTATATACTGGAATTCTGTCATATTTACATATTTACACAAGTAAAAAAACTTATAGCAAATAAACTGTTCTTCCCATGTGCCATAAGCTTGATGAGCTTGTAACTTCTGTATTACATCTTTTGCATCTGATTAAAGAAAATAAACAACTGATATTATTGTTCCATTTGCTACTTGAAGCATTCGAACTAAGGTATGAAGTTCTGCTGCTTTTCTGGTAGAAGCTGAACTTTAAAGTCCCTCGGCAAAATGAAGTTCATCTCTCTTAATGAAAATACAAATTTCAATACCTTCACTTGACAGGTTCTCATTATATGTTCCATCCACTTGGATGATATTGCATGCTGGGCTTCTGACGACTGATCTTGTCCATGCTGATTTGGTCTATTACTCTGTATTTCAGTGTTCAGCCTTTGGCCTTGAAGGAAGACTGTGGTCCATGAGAATACGATATTCTGGATCTTGTTAATCATCTGCACAGAATGAACTTGGTGGTGCTTCAAAATTTTACCATTTCTTGCTTCCCATGTAGTGTGATAGGCTGCTGTCAATTTTGTAATAAGATGTTTTTTCTCCCAATTTACTTACTAGAAGGCTATGTACCAATCTCAAATGACTTGGGACAGAGTGCAGGTCTGATAGTAATCAGGATTAAAACCTATATTCGTGTGAAGCCAAATCAGTTTAGCTAAATGACAGTGCATGAATAATGCTCTTGAATTTCTTCTTGCTGCTCACAGAAAATGCAAGATGAGTCCTGTAAGATCTTTCTTCTGAAGTTTACTGCAGGTTGGGGAGCATTTGGTACGAACCTCTTTCATTCATTGAGAAGAAGAGAGGATTCCCTCGAGCACCACTCAAAGAGGGGATTCGAGAGAAGGCACGAAATAAAAAGAAAGGTATAGTAATTGATTGATGTCCTCATTACATAGATGGAGGATCACCTCTGTACCGTTACAATAGGAATCAAGTAACAGAATATCAGAATGCAAATGATGGCAAAATAAGTGTGCCAACCGTTTAGTAACAACCTTAGGTGGCCTGATCCTTTGGGTGTATTATCCTTGCCAGGTGTCCTTTCTTGTGAAGTTGAGTGGCTCGTAACATTTCCACCCCCTTGCGTTGAGCCTTGTCCTCAAGGCTAAAATCTGGGCATTCTTGGCTTAACTCAGTCGACTTCTTTTGAGCAGTATGTGTAGTGTAACTTGTCTGTCCAGGTATAGTTGGTGGAGGATCCAAACAGGAATGACAGTGTTGCAATGTAGTGTAGAGAGGGACCTGGCATGAGTAATAGTCTCCTGTCAACACCTTCAATTACTTCTCTTAGAAAATCATCCCAGCAACACTTCTGTCCTATACTAAATACTACCCACCAAACTTGTTACGAGAGTTAATGGTAGGTAATGCATTCAATGAGAGAACATGATCAGGCCCTATTTCTTCATATGTCATAAGTTCAAACATTTTGATGATCCCCTCCTCTATGGCATCACTAAGTAACCAAAAATTCAACAGCAAGCTATGCCATTCTAGAGTTTTTACAGGACTGACCTCAAGGCTCAAGCAATAATGCTAGGGAACCTTCATCTGGACCACCATTTCCATACATGTTGACTAGTATGAATTAGACATGGTGATGCAGCGTGGAAGCAATGAAAAGTGGGCTGGCAATGCAAGCACCAGGCGAACACCAGCTTCTAACAAAGCTAAACGTAAATCTCTAGAGGAGAGAGAAAAAGGTGACGAAAAACTGAAGTGTCCATTAGCTTGGAAAATAACAATATTTATAATATATCTGAAAATTGTAGAATAACTAGGAAAGAACAATTGTGATAGATCTCTACTCTGCTAGGATCGAACTCTTCTTGATCTTGATCTTTGTCTTGATAGGATCAAACACTCTTGGGCTTGATCTTCACCGTCCGATCTCCTTGGATCTTATCCATGCATGGATTATCCTAATCTTGGTATGAATCTTGGATTATCTTGAACTCTTGGATTATCTTGGATTCTTGAATTCTTGATGGATTTTGGATTATTGAATTCTTGATGGATCTTGAATTCTTGAATTATGGGATAATCTTGAATTCTTGAATTATCCTTATCCTGCAAACTTCCTTATCCTATGGACTGCCGCCCATATGGTGAGATGAGCTTCCATGATGGGATGGGCTTCCATCACATGGATACTTGCACAGTCCAACCTCAATTTTGGAGCATCACCGTGAACGGATTTCCCAAATTGAAGATTCTTGGACTTGTTAGCTTCATTGGAAATAATTCTTGTGGGCCTCCTCGTAATACCTGAAGGAGCTTCTCTCTGACCGCCACCATTATCTTAAAGAGTGAAACCACAAAAGATCTTACCGTGGGAAAATTTCCGGATCTACAGTCACACATGATCAAGTCATCATCTATCTCGTGATCAAACCGTATTTAGTAACAGGCATGACTTAATATCATCTTGCCCAACTATAGCAAAGAAGAAATACACTAGTCTCCCTTTATTTGCCTTTAGAATTGAGCATCAGCACCCATTTTGCAAGGCCAATTTCTGTGGCTTCATATGTTACTGCAATAGTGCAATGTGTCTTCTCTCAAGACATCTGCTTTGCCATGGTTATGTTGTACACTACGAACCTTGTCCAAGTGCTTAACTGATTCACAAGCATTAGGATCCTTGAAGGAAGTCGTGTCTTGCCCAAGTGGGGCCCTTGAGGCCAGGTGGTTAAAAGTCAAGCATTCTCTTCTCGCCTAAGAATGGAGTACCCAATTCGATGATGCCTAATCCCCATGAAACCAGCACCATTGATGCTTCCACTAGACTCGTCTGATCAAGACCTCTGGGTAAGAGGTATGGGA